CAAGACACGTACAAAGAGCTTGTTCTGAGTCCCCTGTAGAGTATTCTCTGTTTGGAAGAACGTAAGCCCAACCAACAGCCCACCAGAAATACCAAGGATGAGTTTAGCAAAGATGTACGTAGGGTTCCGCCAATAACTCTCGAAACCGCGTTGCGTGAGTGCCACGAGTTGGTGCATCCAAGACGTCGCGAACTCCATATGTCTTTCCGAGCCATTGGAAAAATGAGCGCGAGCGCGTCCTTCCATATGAATACGCTGGATCTCAAGGTCTAGCTCGGATGCCTCATGAGATCCTTCCCAAATCTGATGCCAATCGGTGGAAGAAGTAGCCGTTGCACCCGCTCCGATGACATCCAACAGGTACTCGGCTCTGAGTAGCAAAGAGTACCGTGTTAGATGGCTGAATGGTGTGGCAGAGGTGAATGCTCACGGATTTGCGTCAGGGTCACAGTGAGGGGCGCCGTTCCTTTCAAAGTATTCCAGCAAAGTCGAAGACTTCTCTCCGATGTCGCCAAAGTAGACTGTCTGTCCGCCTTTGCGGAGTAGGAGCAGTCGATCGAAGACCTGGAAGAGTTCGGCTGATGGCTGATGGATTCTATGATAGCTTGGATATCAGTAGCTACGCTTATATGTTGAAGGGGCGTAGTTGACTCACGTGCAAAGGATAGCCTGTCCACTATTAGCGAGCTCACGGAGAAAAGTCACGATGGCCCAGGCGGACTGCGAGTCAAGACCAGAGGTCGGTTCATCGAGGAAGAGGAGCAATTTCGGCTAAGTCAGGGAAGCATGAGACTATAAAACATACTTCCAGCGCTGGATCTTACCTTAGCAGCGAGCTCCACTCCGATGGTGGTACGTTTTTTGTACTCGACACCTAGAGAACCAACAATAGCATCTGCATAAGCTTCCAGCCCACACGTTTTCAGGCACTTGTCAACGCTGTGCAGGGATAGAACACACATAAGAACAGTTAAACGACAGAAATAATGATGAGAAACATACTAAGCCTCTTTCTCGGCCATTGGAACAGATTCCGGCTGTCGAAGTTTCGCAGAGAATAGCAGTGCCTCCCGAACAGTTGACTCCGGAATGTGGGTATCCATCTGCTGACAGTATCCGCTTCAAAAGATGTCAGTCCCAATTCTATCCCAAAGCATGAGCACTTACGTCTGAGCCTGGAAGTCCGCAGGAAGAGCCTGGCCATTAACCAAGCGGTCGCCGAGTACAACACCCGTCGAAACACGCTGAGCAAGTGCATTAAGTAACGTGGTCTGCCGAACACGCACATTCGAAGTATTAGTTGGTCCCAATCTGCTTTCGCAAAGAACGATACTGCGCTCACCTTTCCCGCACCAGATTCGCCCATCAGTGCCGTCAGTTTTCCGGGAGCGACATAGCCAGAAACATCATCAAGCAGCTTGCGTGTTCCACCTCCAGCAAGGGGCACAACGTATTGCACGTGTTTCCACGAAAAGATATTCGCTGTCGCTGATACCTCGAGTGCTGGTTTCTTTGATACGCCGTTGGTAGCAGTCGCAGAGTTCCGACTGTCAGTCGCCTCTCCCCCTGCAACTTTCTCTTCATCGACGGGACCGATGTCACGTTCGGTGTCCACCTCCGCACGACTGCCCTGTTTGAAGAGCGTCACAGACCTATCAAGTGCAGAGGTTGTGTTGAACTCTGTCATAGTCAGCAAGATCACCAGGAAACCGACGCCAAAGGCGCAGATGATTCCCAAGTTCTACACCATACCCAACATCAGTAATTGTAATCAGAAACGGTAAGAGGGAAGTCCTTTACAGACCATCCAGATATCGCCATACTCGTAACCATAAGACAGATGTGTGAAGGTGTTTCCGTCTACTGTCGTCATACCAGGCTGCGATCCGACCGTCGTGCATACTTGATTGGCGAGCGTGATGTTTTCGTATCCAGGACCTTGTGGGACAAGTGTCGTGCATGTCCCATTGAGAGTATGGAACTCGTTAAGTAGCAATGATTCGAATGCATATCGAAGAGGCTAAATGGAACAAAAAGCAAGATGGTCAGGCTATAGTCAGAACTAAACGCAGGACATTGCATGTACGTTGAGGTATGTTATCCAGCGCAGGCCACCGACAATACTGGGACGGGGAATGGTATAGCCGGTGTAGAGAGCTAGCATCAAGACTGAGAACCCAGCTACTGAGACAGCAGTAGAAAGAGCCCTGAAACTTGCTGCGATACTCCTGAAGAAAGTCTTCATGACAAGCGTTATGGCGAAGACAAACAGCAGGAAGGTGCTGTCATCCAATCCCAATCGTGAGAAATCTCCTGTTGGTAAGAGAAAAGAACGCACAGGAACTGGGCAGCCGATTTTTGGAGGCCAACCAGGAAGTAAAAGATAATGGTGAAAATGATGTTGGAAATGAACGTGATCGGAATGTCGACAACTGTGTGGGCCAGACTCTCTATGAATGGGTAATACATCGCTCCTTTCTGGTGGCGCAGGATGATAGGGCGTTGAGCAAAAAGAGCGCTAAGTTCTGCCATAGCCGAAACGGAACCATAGAAAAGAGAACTGTAATAAATACATCAGGATCTCGTGTCGTTACCCAACTGTCCACGAGAGGGAATACGCACAAAAAGAGCACACCACCCCTTGAAAAGTACGCGCTGGTGGTGTCCGGGACTTGCAAGAACACCGTCCCCATGATGATAGCCTGGAAGATCTGCGCCCTACGATGCGATGTTGGTAGATCAGGATCTCTGTCCCAAACCAATGAAATGGCCATATGGGAAAAAACTCACCCAACCTGAACAGCCTGCGTAAGCCAATCTCCCTTTAAAATCTGCCACCTGCGGCGCACAACTGCGCGGAGCTGCATCGGCACAGAGATCGTGTATGCGTGGTTCTTCGGCGCGTGGCGTGAGTGTTCACTCACCGCGCTCGCGTCATAAGTGTTCTTGAGCTTGGCTTTGTTGACGTAGCGGCCGAGGTAGGAGTCCATAGACGAGCTATTGAGCTGGCCGAGATGGGATTTCTTGAAGTAAGCAGCCATCTCGTCTGCTGTATGCGGTACGGTGCCTTCGTATCCAGGCCGGATCTTTCTGCCACTGGGATCAGTGACTATGAAACTGTGATTCAATATTGAATCCAAACAACCGGACTTGATACGCACCAGCCACCAAGAAATCAGCAGTTGTTTGCCTATGCTGAGGCTCGTAACCGATGTCGATGAAATATTGTCTGGCATATTTTGCAGGACCGAAGTACGCCATCTTTCCCTCGTTGATGACGCATACTTTGTCGAAGAGGTCGTAGAGTTGTTCGCCAGCTTGATAAATTGAGACAACCGTAGTCACACGAGCGATGTCTGTCGCGATACGAAGGGCACGGACAAACTCGAGGGCGGTGGAGGCGTCCAAACCGCGTGTTGAGCTGAGCAAAGATAGTGTCAGATATTTGTTGTTTCAGTCAATTGCTAGATAAAAGACTTGCTTATCCCAAGCATTGAGCCTGCTTCTGCAGGAAAGTGCCTCAGCGATCGAAACGCGCTTCTTCTCGCCACCAGAAATGCCCCTGATAGCTGCATCCCCCACTACGGTATTCCTCGCATGGCCCAGCCCAAAGACACGCATCAACACTTCTGCACTGAGTTTCGTATATTTATCCCTAGGCAGATTTGATAGCCGTTTCTGCGGGGTCCTCATCGTCGCAGCGAAGGTCAAGGTTTGTTCAACGGTGAGCGTGGGGAAGTGGATATCGTCTTCAGGGCAGTATATCACATCGCCGCGATACCTCTCTGCGATGTCCTCGGGTGTGAATGAATCGTAGTGAACCTCACCATGAACGCCGTGGTATTCGTCGCGCTGATTGGCTATCGTCTTGAGGAGCGTGCTGCATCCGGAGCCGGGGCGGCCCAAAACCACTGCGACAACCAAAAAAAGTCGTATCTCGGTCAATCAAGGATTGCAAGAGAAAAGAGGAAGGGGGGTGTGCGTACGAAGCATCTCTCCTGGGATAACAACACCCTCGAAACCTGATAAAATGTCCCGGACGGGAGGATGACGCATAGTATTTATACTCCTCATGATTGCCTTGGGGCTAACAAAGGAGCCTACGGTGGGTTGGAAGGATGAGCGCGCGCCGATTCCAACAACGCGTAGATCCTTGAACATGACGCCCAACTCGCGTGCCTGGATCCCATCTTCGCCAGACCTGAGAAAAAATGGAATCACATAAACTAAGAACGAACTAGGAGTAGTAAAAGGGGAAATACACTCTGACTCTTACCGTCTGACAACATCCTTTAGTAGAGTCTCGAAATCAAAATGGTCATCGCCAATGGTAGTGAAGGCAGAATTCGGCCTTGAAACTTTGGTGTCTTTGGTCGGAGCGTCTGCCTTGGCTTCGATATCGACGGCACTCTCGACACGATGTGAGGTGAGGGTACGCTGCAACTCCTGAACACCAACAGGATCAAAGAAGTCGAGAGGGACGCGGCTTTGCTCGGCTATCGGTGACTGCTGAGGAGAGTACATGGAGGAAGGGGGGAAATCAAAAGGGAGAGACACAAGTAAGAAAATAAGATGAATATAAAACTTTGTGAGGATGCTGGACGTTGTCCGGGTACTTAGGTGAGTTATTTAACTGGCGCGTAGCTCACGGGCCGCAACCAATCAACATTGTTGATGGGGGGGTCTGCCGAGACGACGCGTTGGAAGGAAAAACCTATCGGAATGATCTTGCATCATGACCGCAATCACAACGTACGCTTTCTTGAAATTGGAACATCTGACATGGACATGTTACATTAACTCGTCCCAATCAGGAATCTCCGAGGGTGAAAACGGCTATAAGCTGTCACTCGATGTCCGTCGGGATGGTGGTTGTCTGACCCCCGACGGAAGGTGCTCCTGGGCCCAATGTCCGACCAACTTACCTATCAACGTATCAACACGCACGTAAAGGCAGGGAGTGACAATGCAAAGCGTGAAACAACAGCGGGCAAAAAGCAAGGCCTTGCCAGGGTTCGAACCTGGGTTTTGAGAACTTGTAAGCGCATCAAACCACATCAAAATCTCAAGTGATAACCACTACACTACAAAGCCGATACTGGACTGCCATATGGAACCCATTCAAGACGTCAATTTCGCCAGTGATAACCACAAGCCAAGTAACAGTTTGGCTGTTGCACGGAGGCCTTCCCAACTCGTCTGTGGCATTGCAAGTAGTCGGAACGAATCAGCTTGTGAAGTACTACACTATATACAGATTCTTGGTACACCTTCACCACTGTATCTGTCCCATCGATGATCGATGATCCTTGAACCTTCCTATGAGCATTCGACGGTCGGGCTGCTGCTGAAGGTCGTACGTCCGTGAGTTGCAGACTCGCAGCACATCATCATAAGTACTGCAGCTTGAGGCCTCCAGGGCTGCGCCAAGATCACGATGGCTGTACTGACACTTCCGAGACATATCCCCGCCACTGGTGATTGAGCTCTACTCACGTTTCCCATGTGGCAGAACGAAACGACAATAGGGATTTCAGGTCACGCGGTCACTTCTCTGGACTGAAGTACTGATGGCTCACCTGACGTCGTGCAAGATGCTTGGGAGAGTGTTGTGAGTTCTCTGTGTGCCTAGGGTGCATTCTTCTCTAGCTAATATATCAATAGGCTTTTCTTATTCCCCGTAGTTCTCGGTGTAGTGTTCGCCGTTCGCAAGACGAACTGGCGTGTGCCCAATGCCCTGTTGACCAGGGATACTGGCCCACCTTCAACCGACGTAGCATGCACCAACCCACGCATGGACCAGTGCTCCTTCTATGCCACCTGCCTCGAGTCAAGGTACCACTGCGGCCCAGACGGCTACCCTATTGGCTACGGTCAGAAGTACTGCCAGAAATTCTCAGACGAGCGCTCAAACCTTGACGCTCAAGGACAGAAGTGGATGATCGACACCATGCACTGCCTCCAATTCGTCCTCGTCCCAGACGCCATTGACGCCAACGCCACCACTTGTAATGCTCTGAAAGACCAGGCATTTGCCTCACATGCTGGGTGTTATACCAGTAATGGGTTCTGCACCTTGGGCGTGCATAATTGGGTGGCAGTTCTCGGAATTGTGGATATTACGACTTTGTTCTCGAGCTGGCACGCATTCACAGCCATGATAGAAGCAGCAGTAGATTGCGGAGAGTTCTATGCGTACATGGTAGAAAGGGGAATGTTTTGATGGGAGCCATGCTACTTACCATGTACTGTATGCAAGCCCAGTTGTTCTTGTGCCCTTACTACCATTCAGACGGGAAAAGACTAAGCGCGGTAGCAAGAGTGAGAAGCCTCATCTAAGTATAAGGGAATGTCGAAGAACTGGTGTTCTTGTTCAAGCTACTGTTGGAAACAGCATCGTGGCCATCGACTGCGTCAATCTTCACCTGTGCCTCTCTTGAGCGCTGGAGTACGACCCATTGTTCGTTTGGCGCTGGCTGAATGATAAGGCCTGGCACAGTCGAAAAGCCTCCTACATCCAACGGCAATGGTATGACATTAACATTAAGTAATATTGGCACGAGTACAAAAACAACGTTGTTACTACATTGCAAGTACAACGAATCCAAGTGTCCACATAGTATACAAGGACATGCAATACGTCCGTCCGAATCTATCTATAATGGCATCGTTTGACTGGCGATCATGCCCGATCCGTAACATACTAACCTGAGCCAGCCCAGCTAGTATATTTATATTGCTCTAAACCGAACGAACGCGAATGCGGAACCAGCTGGCCGCAGTTTAGCGTATCTTCCCCAGCCCCAGCCCCACGCTCACCTTACATAGTCCTGACTCACATTCTACTCCTGCTGGGTGTTGAACCCAGCCCGATTCTCCAGCCTTGCGATCACCTCGCCAGCAGCGTCACTAGTGATGTCGGCCATAGACCTCGTTCTACACCTCTGTGGATTCACAGTATGACTGGAAGTGACAACTGGGAAAGGGCGTTGACGAGGTACGAACTCCGGAATGTTATGTATGCTCATCGCCGAGAATGGTTTCCGACTCGGCGGAACAGCTGGTATTAGTGCGGGTGCTTGCGCTGCTGCTCGTGTTTTGCCGTGGATCACACCATGTAAGGGACATCGAGAGATCCCCGGAGTTGTAGGTCTTTCAGCACAGGCCTCCGACGCCTCCGACGGGGATAGAGGCCGCCCGCGAATGAAAGAGCGGCTGCGGTGCACCTAGGCAGTCAACGCACTAAGCAAGCCTAACAAAGGTGAAATAGCAGTGTGGATGCGCGTACGTTAATCACAGAGTCATGTTTATCAAGTTGTGGAGCGATCTGAGACGCCCATTGTTGTATATCCTCATAGTTGAGCGAGCTAGAGGTTGCGGAGACCCTAATCTCGGTGTCGGATACGTCTATATCAGATGGACCATGTGCGATCAGACTGACGTCCGCTGCCGAGTCTTCAGAAGCTGAGGAGTGATCGCCAACGTCAAAGGCAGGAAGCATTTCTCCGGACCTGTGGAAATCTATCTCCGACTCGTTGATTGCAGCAACAAGTTTGGCGCCGAGCATCTCAGGAAGTACGTCTTTATCAACCGAGCGCTCACTGCAAGATTGAAAGTCGCTTTCAAATTCCGAGTCACTACCAATGGAAAGGGAGTCACCACTTTCATCACTCCCATATCGGCGTGCTGTAGCTCTACGGTCACGAAGGGCCGCGCGTGCAAGGACACCGAGCTTGCGTCTAGAGCGGGCCCGCTCAGGGCCAGGTTTCCTGACTGCAACGAGTTCCATGGCAGGTCCCTCCAGGGCGGGTCCCTGCTCCACGATGGGCTGGGGCTCTGGCTCCACGATCGGTTCCTGATCCAAGGAAGGTCCCTTCTCCGCGAGGCGTCCATGCCCCGCGACAGGCTGGCGTTCCACGACAGGTTGACTCTCCACGACGAGTTCCTGCTCCACGACAGGTTGTGCTTCCGTGATAACCACTCTCTCCATCGCCGGTCCCCTTTCGGCCTTGTCGTCCCGTCTAGACAGGAACGGAGCGCGCCAATGAACATCCGACGCAGCGGCAGCAGCCCACGCGCTAGTCCTCGCGTTCCTTTCCTCCAGCATCAATACCTGCTCGTCGACCATAGTAGATCGAAGCGCTGGAAAAACCTGGTGGTCGCGTCTAGAATCAAAGGGCCGATGCGTATACTGTTTCCTTGGTGGAATCACAGGAGCCGAAGGATATTTCCTGAGAACCGATTGAGGAATGAATATTAGACTGTGAGGGCGCAGCTTTAAAGGCTGAAAATCACGCATGCGTCATCAGTGTTATGGCACAGGACGCATAGTATCACTTGCCTCAGCTTGTTCTGCGTGTGTCTGTCGGTCTGCCTGACCGCCTCTAACGTTGTCAGGGGCCGATGGGTGTGAGCACTGGTCAGTAGCATTGGTAGAGGGATTGATTGGGATAGCCTCATCGACTGCATGCTGCCGATACTCTTGGATTGCAGCCTTCAGGCGGGCTGCTAGACTCCGGTCTGCAACAAGCTGCCTAGATGACTGGGCATTGTTCAGTTTCCTCATAAATTTTAGATAATTACAAAGACAACACACCTCCGCAGTAACAGCGCAAACCCCTTCTTTCGTTACCGCTTTGGGCATGGCTGTGAGATCAATGGCGACAAGACGAGTGGCAGGCTGAGCATCCTGCTCACTATCAGCGTTGGTGAAGCGGTAAACTGAAACAACGTACCTCTCTTGTCGTGGCGCGGACAGCGTCATCTTTTCCAGTGTGCGACTCCACGATGGGTCCTCCCTCGCTAACAGTGGCATGACATTCACCCTGTTGCTTGCGCTTTCGAAGTTGTCTCAACGCCAAAGGCTCCCGGCCTTCTACAGCCGCGGCTCTCAGTTCAGCATCCCTCTTTCGCAGTCTCCGGATCGTGCTGGTACTGAGCGCCGGGCTGTCGGCTTTTGCCTCTTTCTCGGAATCCGGTTGGCATGGGAGACTGAGCAGAGCCATTTCGAGAAGGCTCGGAGGGGGAAGGGGAGTACTAAGGGCGCATGCCATCGCCTCGTCGTCATCAGGAGGTGCGAGAGTATTTTGATGTGCATCTGGGGAAAGAATAGTGGTCGAATGAGCATGGCCGTCATCAAGATCGGGAGAAGCAGCAGCTTTAGAAAATGCATGACTTCCGGGAATCCTCATACGCTTCTTTCGTCTGATAACTTGATTATTTAATATAGGTGGTCGTCCCTCTGCCACCGCCGCTCGGATTTCGGCCTCTCGCCTTCTCAGCCTTCGTAGCGTGGTGCTGGACAAGGTAGAACCCTCCTCTAATGTCAGATAAGCAGCGTCGAGGATCGTCACTTCCAGCGCGTCTGGAGGCGGGAGAGGATTACAAAGAGCGATGTGCATGATCTCGTCGTGATCCCCTAGAGAGTGGGGGGGTTGGACAGTAGGATGTACGGGTTCCTTGGAGTCCGGGAAGATACCAGGTGTGGCTACAAATATCTGGCCAGCTGCGGTTTCGGTTGGGGGCAATGGCGGGGTGTGTTGGATGGCAGACAGAGCCGCTTCACTTTGAATAGTCTTTGATGGGACCACCAACGCATCACCCGGACAGCGAGGGTGGTCCTGAGGGATTTCGCTGAGAAGTGTGGTCTTTTGATCGTGTCCTGTGAACCGGCGGGTACCGTCGTGATCAGCGAGATGACCATCGCTAGAGCGTATGTTGTCGAGCATGGATCGGCGTAGATGAGGTACAATACTGGCGATAGCAGCCAGGGTTAATCCGATGCCCGCAATCCCATTGAGGATGCGGGAGTCAGGGAGGGTTAACCCCTGGGCGACTAGAGTAGGCGGAGAGGCGATACCGCTGTCGAGGAGCCGTGTCGTGATGGGCGTAAAACTGTAGAGACCTAGAGTATTCATTATGCTGAGCATGTAGGTGGTAAGATCATCGGCGTGCTTGGTGCAAGAGATAAGAAAGATGTTGAAACGAATGAACTGGCGTGAGGAAAGGGACAATTGGGTGTTAAATACCTTTGAAGCGGCGGCTGACAACTGGGGAACGCGACGTGTCGATATCACGTGAAGGAAAAATCAATG